AATCGCTATGTGATGCCATCGTTATGCGGGGGGGCCCCTGAAATACTCCCCCCCCCCCCTCTCCCCCCTAGATTAAGACGACAAATATTTTAAGGTAAGTTTAAAGAGGGAAAAAGTTTGCATTTTTTTTTTTGTCTGGGATGCTTAAATGAAAAAGAAATTATGTGTTGGGGGGGGTGGCCTGTTTTGATAGCCCGGGTGACTACCAACACACCACACTTTATTTCTTACAATAAATATATTTTCCACCCTAGAATTTTGGGCTATAAATTTTTTAAGGTTTAAATAAGGGGTGGGACTATTTTTGTGTATTTTACTTTTTTTTTGTTTTTTGATTTCCTTGTTGTATTGCTAACTTTAAAATTTTTGTTAGTGTAAAATTGTTACGTATTTTTTTATGCCTTTTTTAAGTGGAAAAAAAGGGTGTTTCCATTTATGGCGATTTCCCCTTTTTCGGCGGGAGCCCGGGGAAAATAACCTGCCTTTTAAGTGGGGCCCTACGGGATATAGAGTAAAAGGGATACGAAAAGAAAATTTTTCTACAGTTTCCCCCCCGTGGTTTTACTAGAGAAAACATAATTTTTTCCGCTTACCTAACACAGGGTTTTTGTAAACAAATTTTTATATTTTTCCCTCAATTTTTTGGGTTTTGTGAGTGTATGTTCAGGGGTTTTTATCCCCATAGAAAAAGGATTCAGCCACGGCAAACCGGGGGTCTTCCCCTTTGGGAGATGACACCCCCAATTGCATGACATGTCCCTTTCCCTTGCAGCACTGCAAGGCCCAGGGGGCCCTCAAAACCCAATCTTTCAGTGGGGTGCAGAAAACAATATGAAATTCAACCGGGTGAGAAAATTTTTAATTACCTCAATATGGGAAACACGAGGAAAAATTTAAATTTTTAACAAAGTACAAAAACAAATTTGGGGCCAAAAAAATTTGAGCGAAACACCAACGCAAAACCTGGGATGATCAAGGGTTTGGGGGGGAAAATTTCCCCACCCCCCCAAGGACCCCTAACATTGTATCAATCGCATTTTGCTAAAAAAATGCGGATGGATAATGAGAACCTTCATAACTAGGGAGGCCAAGCCCATGATGACACTCTTCAGGTCACTTGTTCTATCTAGGCTGGAATATTGCTGCACACTAACAGCACCTTTCAAGGCAGGTGAAATTGCTGACCTAGAAAATGTACAGAGAACCTTCACGGCGCGCATACGGAGATAAAACACCTCAATTACTGGGAGCGCTTGAGGTTCCTAAAACTGTATTCCCTGGAATGCAGGCGGGAGAGATACATGATTATATACACCTGGAAAATCCTAGAGGGACTAGTACCGAACTTGCACACGAAAATCGCTCACTACGAAAGCAAAAGACTTGGCAGACGATGCAACATCCTCCCAATGAAAAGCAGGGGTGTCACTAGCACGTTAAGAGACCATACAGTAAATGTCAGGGGCCCGAGACTGTTCAACTGCCTCCCAGCATACATAAGGGGGATTACCAACAGACCCCTGGCAGTCTTCAAGCTGGCACTGGACAAGCACCTAAAGTCGGTTCCTGACCAGCCGGGCTGCGGCTCGTACGTTGGTTTGCGTGCAGCCAGCAGCAACAGCCTGGTTGATCAGGCTCTGATCCACCAGGAGGCCTGGTCACAGACCAGGCCGCGGGGGCGTTGACCCCCGGAACTCTCTCCAGGTAAACTCCAGGTATGTAATGGGTTTCATATATAATTTTGAGGAAAATATCATAGATGGATTAATGAAAATGCCTATATTGATGTAAAATAAGACATTTAGTGTGCCCAAGAGTGATTATTATTACGTAGTATTGATGTCATGAGTAGAGAGAGCCTTAGCGATTTTAATGTGTACCTGCACACCAGCACAGTGTGTAAGTATATTTAGGTACAGGTAAACATAAGTATAATTATCAGAGTACATATAAAAGAGAAAAAGGTAGCTTACGAGAGGTTTTTACAAAGCAGAAGTGTTATAAGAAGAGCAGAGTATATGGAGAGTAAAAGAAAGGTGAAGAGAGTGGTGAGAGAGTGCAAAAGGAGAGCAGATGAAAGAGTGGGAGAGGCACTGTCAAGAAATTTTAATGAAAATAAGAAAAAATTTTGGAGTGAGTTGAACAAGTTAAGAAAGCCTAGGGAAAGTATGGATTTGTCAGTTAAAAGCAGAGTAGGGGAGTTAGTAGATGGGGAGAGGGAGGTATTAGGTAGATGGCGAGAATATTTTGAGGAACTTTTAAATGTTGAGGAAGAAAGGGAGGCGGGTAATTTCATGCACTGGCCAGGGAGGTTACCATCTTTTAGGAGTGAAGAAGAGCAGAATGTAAGTGTGGTGGAGGTACATGAGGCATTACGTAGAATGAAAGGGGTAAAGCAGCTGGGAAATGATGGGATCATGACAGAAATGTTAAAAGCAGGGGGGGATATAGTGTTGGAGTGGTTGGTACTTTTGTTTAATAAGTGTATGAAAGAGGGGAATGTACCTAGGGATTGGCGGAGAGCATGTATAGTCCCTTTAATAAAGGGAAAGGGGACAAAAGAGATTGTAAAAATTATAGAGGAATAAGTTTATGAGTACACCAGGAAAAGTATACGGTAGGTTATAATTGAAAGAATTAGAGGTAAGACAGAATGTAGGATTGCGGATGAGCAAGGAGGCTTCAGAGTGGGTAGGGGATGTGTAGATCAAGTGTTTACATTGAAGCATATATGTGAACAGTATTTAGATAAAGGTAGGGAAGTTTTTATTGCATTTATGGATTTAGAAAAGGCATGTGATAGAGTGGATAGAGGAACAATGTGGCAGATGTTGCAAGTATATGGAATAGGTGGTAAGTTACTAAATGCTGTAAAGAGCTTTTATGAGGATAGTAAGGCTCAGGTTAGGGTGTGTAGAAGAGAGGGAGAATACTTCCCGGTAAAAGTAGGTCTTAGACAGGGATGTGTAATGTCACCATGGTTGTTTAATATATTTATAGATGGGGTTGTAAAAGAAGTAAATGCTAGGGTGTTCGGGAGAGGGGTGGGATTAAATTATGGGGAATCAAATTCAAAATGGGAATTGACACAGTTACTTTTTGCTGATGATACTGTGCTTATGGGAGATTCTAAAGAAAAATTGCAAAGGTTAGTGGATGAGTTTGAGAATGTGTGAAAAGGTAGAAAGTTGAAAGTGAACATAGAAAAGAGTAAGGTGATGAGGGTATCATATGATTTAGATAAGGAAAAATTGGATATCAAATTGGGGAGGAGGAGTATGGAAGAAGTGAAAGTTTTCAGATACTTGGGAGTTGACGTGTCGGCGGATGGATTTATGAAGGATGAGGTTAATCATAGAATTGATGAGGGAAAAAAGGTGAGTGGTGCGTTGAGGTATATGTGGAGTCAAAAAATGTTATCTATGGAGGCAAAGAAGGGAATGTATGAAAGTATAGTAGTACCAACACTCTTATATGGATGTGAAGCTTGGGTGGTAAATGCAGCAGCGAGGAGACGGTTGGAGGCAGTGGAGATGTCCTGTCTAAGGGCAATGTATGGTGTAAATATTATGCCGAAAATTCGGAGTGTGGAAATTAGGAGAAGGTGTGGAGTTAATAAAAGCATTAGTCAGAGGGCAGAAGAGGGGTTGTTGAGGTGGTTTGGTCATTTAGAGAGAATGGATCAAAGTAGAATGACATGGAAAGCATATAAATCTATAGGGGAAGGAAAGAGGGGTAGGGGTCGTCCTCGAAAGGGTTGGAAAGAGGGGGTAAAGGAGGTTTTGTGGGCGAGGGGCTTGGACTTCCAGCAAGCGTGCATGAGTGTGTTAGATAGGAGTGAATGGAGACGAATGATATTGGGACCTGACGATCTGTTGGAGTGTGAGCAGGGTAATATTTAGTGAAGGGATTCAGGGAAACTGGTTATTTTCATATAGTCGGACTTGAGTCCTGGAAATGGGAAGTACAATGCCTGCACTTTAAAGGAGGGGTTTGGGATATTGGCAGTTTGGAGGGATATGTTGTGTATCTTTATACGTATATGCTTCTAAACTATTGTATTCTGAGCACCTCTGCAAAAGCAGTGATAATGTGTGAGTGTGGTGAAAGTGTTGAATGATGATGAAAGTATTTTCTTTTTGGGGATTTTCTTTCTTTTTTTGGGTCACCCTGCCTCAGTGGGAGACGGCCGAGTTGTTGAAAAAAAAAAAAAAAAAACATATAAAATATGCAGTAACTTTAAAACACTTGAAATTTTGGAAAGTTTCCTGACATAATAGATGTGGTCACGGAAAATGTAAGCAAACCGTGTGGGGGCGCCGTATTTGAAAGACCGCTTGCCGTATAACAAATTTTGGTCATAATTTGACATTGCGTATTAGCGGAACGCCGTAAGGCGAAACGCCGTAAAGTGGGGCCTTACTATATATTGAATCCTTTTATTTTTTAAGTAATTGCTGAACTGGATTGCAGCTTTTTCTTATGTTTGGTTGTCATTGGTACAGTGTGCTAAGTCTGCTCATTGGGATGTATGTCGGTGTCTGGTAATGATATAGATGCAACAGTTCTATTTTGCTTCATCAGGCACTTCAGTGCAAAATTTTTTTCTTTAGGAGGACACCCTCCTTTTTTTCTTTTCCTATTACTCATTTATACCAGGGTTTCATTTTCATGCTAAAAAAAAAAAAAAAAAAAATTTCATCCACAAAATATTTTTCACTCCACCCAGTAGCTATATTTTTTCTTCACTGCTGTCATTGTACTATCCCTTTTTTTCTTAGTCTCACTTTACTCTCAAATTCATTTGCACAGATTTTGACTTTATAAATCGCTTTCAGTATTATTTAAATATTAAACAGCTTAGCATTTTCATTGATAATTATTAAATTAATAAAGAGTTTACCTTTTTTCATTCATGATTATTAGAGAGCTTAGCATTTTCATTTATAATTTTTGAAAAAGGAGAGTGTAACCAATTTCTGTATTTTTCTTTTTTTCAGGGTTCAGCTAACATGATTCTGTGGGACACTAGTAATGAGAAAGGCATAAACATTGGTGAGGTCCTCATTGATGAAGGCTTTGCATCTGCCGCTCATGCAAGTGGTGATGTCTCTACTTCAGTTATTGAGACAAAAACCAGTTCAATAAAACCTCCGCCTGGATTTGAGCTGGCACCTGTAAATCTTCTAGCCATAGATCCTCCACCAGGTTTTGAACATTCACTTGTTAATTATGAAGTGGTAGAACCTCCTGCTAATTTAAGGTCTATTTCTGATAATCCAGCTGTTCCTTCACTGGGATTTGAAACAAATGTAACAAGCATTCTTGACCATCCTATACTTTCTGCCAGAGGAGATGATACGTACTACAGTGATGAGTAAGTTTTTTAATAAATTACATAATGGTACAGTATTTATGTGCATGGTATTTATCTTGTGACTCCTGGTGAGTTTCCTCTTGTGGGTCACATGTAATTATCACAGTGTTTACTCTGATTTGATAGACTTCCACTTGCTTATTATTTTCTCCCTTCAGTGGGGGGGTCCCTTGATGCTGGTGAAGTGCTCTTGATCCAAGGAATTGGAGCCTTTGAAAGTTACAACACATTCTTGCTCTGCTTTGAGATACAAATTTATCAAAGTTAATCCTTAAACTTTTTCTTTCTTTCAACACACCGGCCGTATCCCACCGAGGCGGGGTGGCCCAAAAGGAAAAACGAAAGTTTCTCCTTCTACATTTAGTAATATATACAGGAGAAGAGGTTACTAGCCCCTTGCTCCCGGCATTTTAGTCGCCTCTTACAACACGCATGGCTTACGGAGGAAGAATTCTGTTTCACTTCCCCATGGAGATAAGAGGAAATAAACAAGAATAAGAACTAGAAAGAAAATAGAAAAAAACCCAGAAGGGTGTGTATATATGTGCTTGTACATGTATGTGTAGTGTGACCTAAGTGTAAGTAGAAGTAGCAAGATGTACCTGAAATCTTGCATGTTCATGAGACAAAAAAAAAGGACACCAGCAATCCTACCATCATGTAAAACAATTACAGGCTTCCGCTTTACACTCGGCAGGACGGTAGTACCTCCCTGGGCGGTTTCTGTCTACCAACCTACTACCTATCAATCCTGCTTTTTATCAATATGCTTATGTAGGAAAAGATTCTAACTTTTTGGTTGGAGGGGAAAGGAAAAGGAGGGATAAATTTAAGCTCATTTTTGTAGAATCTGCTGAATTGCATTGAAAGAGTAATTTATTGAATGCAAATAAAAGTAAGGCATTATAAAGTTCAGTCAAGAAAAGCATTTGAAGAAAAGAATTCGCTTGTACTTTGGAATCATTAATGTCCCTCTAAAGTTTCCTCTTTCTCTCTTTCCTTTGCTTATACAGCTCTTGTTGGCTGTGGGAAAAAATATAGGTGGGTACAGAGAGATAGAATGGTTTTTCTTGATCTTATGTGATCGTGGAGTATTTCATACTATTGTTATACAGCTGTGCACTAAATGACCCATGGGTTTAATGCTTCATATGAGCATAATTCATACTATTGTTATACAGCTGTGCACTAAATGACCCATGGGTTTAATGCTTCATATGAGCATAATGCAGGTTGGCCATCACTAATCCGGCAATCAGTAATCCGGTTCCATCAGTAATTTGGCGCTAATTTCAGCTAGCATGATTTCAAATTTCCAGGGTAACCACACCAACCTGTTGCTACTGTTTGGTGGCGTTACTTGCTGCATAAGGCATTCCAATTTCTTTTTCTCCATTTATTGTTATAAGCTGCTCACTTTAGCCTAGCCATGGTTCCAGTGAATAAAAGAAATGCTTCTTGTTGTGTAAAGCGCATACACCGTACATTGTCCATAAAAGATAAGGTGGCTTTGAAGCCACTGTTGGGTGCCGTGAGCTCAGCTCACTCAGATAAGCTGTGACCTACATATGAGAGAATAGGTCTGTGTGGTACGTGTGTACTATATAAAAAAAATCCTGCAGCACACAGTGCATAATGAGGAAAGAAGATGACTGTGCTTTTGGTGTAAAACAGCAACTTTACGGTGTATTTTCACATGGTTGTATTCTTGTTTTTTTTTATTTCATTGATAGAATGGAAGATATATTACAGAAATAGATATAATTTTGATTGGTTTCACGCCAGAAAGTACCTTGAAATTGAGCTCAAAGTAGCGGAAATATTCAATTTTTGCAGATGTTCAAGAGTAAACACAATGTCACCATCCAGTATGTGTTCAACTGGCCAGTCTAATATGTAGTCATGAATGGGTTGATATTATTTATATAATTATTACAGTAATACAGTAGTCTGCATAACAGTACATCTTCTATTTTTTTTGTGAATAAAAATTTAAAACGGAAAGCAAGCATAATATAAGAGGGGCCTGGTGATGTGACTAGTGAACAGAGAAAATGTTATTTTAGTGCTAGGAATGTCTGCATTGTTTATTCTAGACCATATTTTGAAATTGGCATCTCTTGAAATTTGTGTAAAATTGCCCAAATTACCGATTTCTGACCAGTTTATTGGGTAGTTGAAATAGGTAAATGGGTGGTTTTTTGTACTCAATAGAAGGAATACTAGCAAAATAGCTGTGAGTTAGGTAGACTGGAACAATGGAATGGGCTAAAAATTGGGCATAAAGTAGGTGAAATCGCCAATGCATAAATATCACCATTGGGTTAAGTGTATTTTAACCTAACCAAGTTGTAATCTGGCAAAATCACTAATCCGCCACCCTACTGGTTCCAATGATGCCGGATTAACCCGTAAATGGTCCAAACGTATATATACGTTTTTTTCAACATTTGAAAGTATGTAAAAAAATAGACCTTCTTTTTGTTTTTGTAAATTTGAAAATGTGTAAAAAAACTTTGATCTACTTTTTTTTTGTTATATTTGAAAATATGTAAAAAAAACGTAGATCTACTTTTGTAGCACTACACGTGTGAACGTAGATCTGCTTGGACCGTTTACGGGTTAATGATGGTCAGTCTGTACAGTTATTTGTTGCAAGAAGTTTCAGTTGTGCATCTCTTCATGTGTGGTCTTGCAATACATGCCGTACAGTATTTTATCATTGTTTCTATTAATAATCCTTGATAAAAGTTATCTTTTTTTCAGTGCAGAGTCAATATGTGTGTACTGTTTTTCAGTGGATTGATAGTTGATTCAGATCTGTTGTCTGATGGTTTTAGAATTGCCAGTCCATCATAGCCACCATAGCCACTGGGAGTAGGCAAAGTTCCTACCATGTTGCCAGAGGATCATATCAACTGAATAACTTCTGCAGTCAATGCTTGCCTGGCAAATCTGAGAGTGACCTTCAGTAATCTCACCAAAGTCATTCTGGGTGCTTTATACAGCTTGTGTCAGGCCCAGTATGGAGCACACACCTAAGGAAGCATGTTAAGAAATTGGAGAAAGTTTAGAAGTATGCAGTGAAACTAATTCCAGAGCTAAGGAGTATGAAGTACAAGGAAAGGTTATAGGAATTGAATCTAAATGACCCTTGAGGACAGAAGGACCAGGGAAGACATGATAACACCACACAAAATACTCAGGGAATTGATATGGCAGACAAGGATAGGCTGTATGAGAGGCATGAAAATGATAATTGGGGGCACAGTCTCAGGGTAGACAGGACATAGAATGTGCTTGATGAAGTGGTGGAGCCAAACTTCATTCATAGTTTTAAGAATAGGTATGACATATAGGTGAGTTCTAGACCACAATGATATGAATCTCTGTGGTCTAGTGGCTAAGAACAACCACTTGGTAATTCTAGGACCACCAGACCACTGGTTCAAATCCCCAATCACTGAATTATTTACACTTGCTCATTATAATTCTTTCAGTACTTGTACCTGTATTTACAGATTTTTTTTTATAATTCAGAGAAGATGAAGTGATAATGCGGAGCCTTAAATCAAGAGAGAAGAACATCGTGTTCCAGTGTGTGGTCAACTGCATATCCCTGTCAACAAAAACAACACTTCATGTTATAGAATTCAGTGGACAACCCTTTATCTTGAGTGCAGAGTTATCCCAGTTATTGAACTTAGATATCCAGTCTGTACTCAGGGAAAGAAGAATTGTTGTTCCAATGATTATCTTAGATAAGGGAATTGATGCATGTGTGTATATACAGCTAATAGAGTGAGTGCATAACCCTCCTTACCTTCATTATTCATGAGAGTTACATTACAAATTTGAATGCTGAAGACTTGTTGTAGTAGTCCCATACTGATGAGGTTATTGATGCTTCATTATAGTTTTAATAGTTCCACTAATGAGGTTATTGATGCTTCATTATAGTTTTAATAGTTCCACTAATGAGGTTATTGATGCTTCAGTATAGATTTAATAGTTCCATGAATGAGGTTATTGATACTTCAGTATATAGTAAAACTCTGGTTTTTGTCCATTTCAAATATTGTTTAATTCTGATTTCGACCACTTTTTTCGGTGAAGTTTTACTCTGGGTTTCGTACATCGACTCAGAAATTGTTCGTATCAGATGCATTCACATGCCCTGGACGCCGCTGCCTGACACAGTCTGCCTCTGTCGCTTGTCAAGTGAACAGTACTCCGCGGCTTCATCCATTGTTTTTGGTGCTTGTTTATTGAGTGCTACTGCAAAATAAGCCACCATGGGGCCAAAGAAAGATCTGAGTGCTAACCCTTTATAAAGAAGGTGAGAAACACAATAGGATTCAAGACAGAGCTTTTATCAAAATATGATAGTGGTGTATGTGTGGCCAAGCTCGCCAGGATATATGGGAAGTCCAAATCAACAGTCAGTTCCATCCTGGTGAAGAAAGTAAAAATCAAGGAAGCTGGAACAGCAACAGATCACAGCTGAGGAGATTGCTTCAGAGGAGGAGGAAGAGAGAGGAGAATGTACCTTCTTCAGTGATTAAGGACATGTGTGCAAAGTAGAGTGATTTGCAAAGTTTTGCGGAGAATTATCACCCTAACAAAACTGTTGCAAGCCGTGTCTGCAACATGTTCAGTGACATTCTCTTGCCCATTTTAGGCAAATCTTAAAGAGATGCCAGAAACAGGCCTCTGTTTTGTGGTGACTCTCAAGCTGGTCCTAGTGCCAGTAAAAGACAAAGAAGGGAAGTAACCCCAGATAGGCCTTTGATACCTGAAATCCTTATGGAGGGGGATTCCCCTTCCAAACACTAACCTCTCCTCTCTCTCCTCTCCTCGCCTTCTTCCATATGCCAACAAGAGTCTTCAATAAAGGTATGTAACAGTGATGTAAATGTTCATTTATCCATTAAAATTAGTACTTTATATTTATTTCTCATTGTTTTCTGTATGTAAAATTATTGTTATTCTCTATAAAATGTGTTTTTTGTTAATACTTTTGGGTGTCTGGAACGGATTAATTGGATTTACATTATTTCTTATGGGAAATACTACTTCGGTTTTTGTCCATTTTGGATTTCGACCGACCTGGAATGGATTAAGGACGAAAACTGCGTTGCCACTGTAGTTTTAATAGTTCCACTAATGAGGTTATTGATTCTTCAATATAGTTTTAGCTATAAACTCTCTTATAAAGCCAATCTATATGGTGTTTTTTTTTTTCCAAGAAAAAAAATTATCCAAATTGAAGTAGTGCACATATTCAGTGCAAGCTGAATGCAAATTTTCAGTTGTATTTGCAAAAAAAAATGCACTATACAGAAGAAAGCTTACTGTATTCATGTTATGCATATTATTTTCTCTTCTCTAGTAGAAAAGTTATTGTGAAAGGCTGCTTTGTTGTTAAATTTTTATTGACTGATGATTATGAAATTGTTCCAGGTCTGGTTGCAAAGCTATTTATGGTGGAAATGGAAAGATGCTGTCAAATTTAATTATTTACCCCTTGAAAATCTTACGCAATACTCTGAAGTTATTTCCCAGAAGTAATAATGAATTAGAAACAGCTCTGAAGGTATGATATTTTTATACAGTATATTTAATTTTCATAATGTACAAGGTATGGAGTAGCACGTAATGAAAGTAGTTTGTTAGATTATGTATTGGTGGATAAAAGGTTGATGGGTAGGCTCCAGGATGTACACATTTATAGAGGGGCAACTGATATATCGGATCATTATCTAGTTGTAGCTACAGTTAGAGTAAGAGGTAAATGGGATAAGAGGAAAATGGCAACAACAAGTACGAAGGAGGTGAAAGTGTATAAACTAAGGGAGGAGGAAGTTCGGGTGAAATATAAGCAACTATTGGCAGAAAGGTGGGTTGGTGCAGGTATGAGTAGTGGGGAGGGGGGGGGGTTTGAAGAGGGTTGGAATAGTTTTAAAAATGCAGTATTAGAATGTGGGACAGAAGTTTGTGGTTATAGGAGGGTGGGTGCAGGAGGAAAGAGGAGTGATTGGTGGAATGATGAAGTAAAGGGTGTCATAAAAGAGAAAAAGGTAGCTTATGAGAGGTATTTACAAAGTAGAAGTGTTATAAGAAGAGCAGAGTATATGGAGAGTAAAAGAAAGGTGAAGAGAATGGTGAGAGAGTGCAAAAGGAGAGTGGATGATAGAGTGGGAGAGGTACTGAAGAAATTTTAATGAAAATAAGAAAAAATTTGGAGTGAGTTAAACAAGTTAAGAAAGCCTAGGGAACAAATGGATTTGTCAGTTAAAAACAGAGAAGGGGAGTTAGTAGATGGGGAGATGGGGGTTTTGGGTAGAGGGCAGAATATTTTGAGGAACTTTTAAATGTCGACGAAGAAAGGGAGGCGTAATTTCATGCACTGGCCAGGGAGGTATACCATCTTTTAGGAGTGAAGAAGAGCAGGATGTGAGTGTGGGGGAGGTGCATCAGGCATTACGTAGAATGAAAGTGGGTAAAGCAGCTGGAACTGACGGGATCATGACAGAAATGTTAAAAGCAGGGTGGGATATAGTGTTGGAATGGTTGGTATTATTGTTTAATAAATGTATGAAAGAGGGGAAGGTACCTAGGGATTGCCATAGGGCATGTATAGTCCCTTTATATAAAGGGAAGGGGGACAAAAGAGATTGTAAAAATTATAGAGGAATAAGTTTAACGAGTATACCAGGAAAAGTATATGGTAGGGTTATTATTGAAAGAATTAGAGGTAAGACAGAATGTAGAATTGCAGATGATCAAGGAGGTTTTGGGGTGGGTAGGGGATGTGTTGATCAAGTGTTTACATTGAAGCATATATGTGAGCAGTATTTAGATAAAGATAGGAAATTTTTATTGTACATGTATTTATTGATTTAAAAAAGGCATATGATAGAGTGGACAGGGAAGCAATGTGGCAGATGTTGCAAGTATATGGAATAGGTGGTAAGTTACTTAATGCTGTAAAGAGTTTTTATGCGGATAGTGAGGCTTAGGTTAGGGTGTGTAGAAGAGAGGGAGACTATTTCCCGGTAAAAGTAGGTCTTAGACAGGGATGTGTAATGTCACCATGGTTGTTTAATATATTTATAGATGGGGTTGTAAAAGAAGTAAATGCTAGGGTGTTTGGGAGAGGGGTGGGGTTAAATTTTGGGGAATTAAATAGAAAATGGGAAGTGACACAGTTTTTGCTGATGATACTGTGCTTATGGGAGATTCTAAAAAAAAATTGCAAAGGTTAGTGGATGAATTTGGGAGTGTGTGTAAAGGTAGAAAGTTGAAAGTGAACATAGAAAAGAGTAAGGTGATGAGAATATCAAATGATTTAGATAAAGAAAAATTGGATATCAAATTGGTGAGGAGGAACATGGAAGAAGTGAATGTTTTCAGATATTTGGGAGTTGATGTGTCAGTGGATGGATTTATGAAGGATGAGGTTAATCATAGAATTGATGAAGGAAAAAAGGTGAGTGGTGCATTGAGGTATATGTGGAGGCAAAAAATGTTATCTATGGAGGCAAAGAAGGGAATGTATGAAAGTATAATAGTACCAACACTTATATGGGTGTGAAGCTTGGGTTGTAAATGCTGCAGCGAGGAGGGGTTGGAGCCAGTGGAGATATCCTGTCTAAGGGCAATGTGTGGTGTAAATATTATGCAGAAAATTCGGAGTGTGGAAGTTAGGAGAAGGTGTGGAGTTAATAAAAGTATTAATCAGAGGGCTGAAGAGGGTTTGTTGAGGTGGTTTGGTCATTTAGAGAGAATGGATCATAGTAGAATGACATGGAGAGCATATAAATCTGTAGGGGAAGGATGGCGGGGTAGGGGTCGTCCTCGAAAAGGTTGGAGGGAGGGGGTAAAGGAGGTGTTGTGGGCGAGGGGTTTGGATTTAAGTGTCTGTGTTGGAGCATTTTATTTCATACAATTTTCAGCAGTTTAGACAACTTTTCAATCCATCCTGGACCATTGTCATGTCACGGATTTAAGGCTGTTGCAGTGTGAAGTCATTTGAACTGTGATGGTGGCATGCTTCTGGAAAGATGGCAATGGAATGAATGATGGTGAAGGTGTTTCCTTCTGTCTTAAAAATTATAATGATCCAAGACAAACTAAAACATTGTCTAAAGTTTCTTCTCCAAAGTGTGGGTTGTGAATTGATCCAGCTATGTGCTTCTGAAATCTTTTAACTACTGCCCACAGGATGGATATGGGGTGCATAATGAAGATATTAAACCAAAAAAACTTCTAGCTAGGGTATTGACTTCATTTCCACTGCAACCTGTTAAGCCATTTTTTCATTTCATTTTTTTTTTTAAATAAACTGTTTGGTTAAATTTTGAAGTGTGTTGTCGAGTTCTTTGTATAATCTGTTTATATCACCATGGTTGTTTAACATATTTATAGGGAAGGAGGATGGGATTAAATTATGGGGAATCAAATACAAAATGGGAAATGACACAGTTACTTTTTACTGATGATACTGTGCAAAAGGAGAGCAGGTGGGAGAGGCACTGTCAAGAAATTTTAATGAAAATAAGAAAAAAATTTGGAGTGAGTTAAACAAGTTAAGAAAGCCTGGAGAACGAATGGATTTGTCAGTTAAAAACAGAGTAGGGGAGTTAGTAGATGGGGAGATGGAGGTTTTGGGTAAATGGCGAGAATATTTTGAGGAACTTTTAAATATCAATGAAGAAAGGGAAGCAGTAATTTTATGCACTGGCCAGGGAGGTATACCATCTTTTAGGAGTGAAGAAGAGCAGATGCAAGTGTGGGGGAGGTGCGTGAGGTATTACGTAGAATGAAAGGGGGTAAAGCAGCTGGAACTGACGGGATCATGACAGAAATGTTAAAAGCAGGGGGGAATTTAGTGTTGGAGTGGTTGATATTTTTGTTTAATAAATGTATGAAAGAGGGGAAGGTACCTAGGGATTGGCGGAGACCATGTATAGTCCCTTTATATAAAGGGAAGGGGGACAAAAGAGATTGTAAAAATTTATAGAGGAATAAGTTTACTGAGTATACCAGGAAAAAGTAGGTCTTAGACAGGGATGTGTAATGTCACCATGGTTGTTTAATATATTTATAGATGGGGTTGTAAAAGTAAATGCTAGGGTGTTCGGGAGAGGGGTGGGATTAAATTATGGGGAATCGAATACAAAATGGGAATTGACACAGTTGCTTTTTGCTGATGATACTGTACATATGGGAGATTCTAAAGAAAAATTGCAAAGGTTAGTGGATGAGTTTGGGAGTGTGTGTAAAGGTAGAAAGTTGAAAGTGAACATAGAAAAGAGTAAGGTGATGAGGGTATCAAATAATTTAGATAAAGAAAAATTAGATATTAAATTGGGGAGGTGGAGTATGGAAGAAGTGAATGTTTTCAGATACTTGGGAGTTGAAGCGTCGAAAATTCGGAGTGTAGAAATTAGGAGGTGTGGAGTTAATGAAAGTATTAGTCAGAGGGCTGAAGAGGGGTTGTTGAGGTGGTTTGGTCATTTAGAGAGAATGGATCAAAGTAGAATGACATGGAGAGCATTTAAATCTGTCGGGGAAGGAAGGTGGGGTAGGGGTCATCCTCGAAAAGGTTAGAAGGAAGGGGTAAGGGAGGTTTTGTGGGCAAGGGGGTTGGACTTCCAGCAGGCATGCATGACCGTGTTCAGTAGGAGTGAATGGAGACGAATGGTATTTGGGACCTGATGGTCTGTTGGAATGTGAGCAGGGTAATATTTAGTGAAGGGATTCAGTAAAAGTAGGCCTTAGACCAGAGTGTGAGTCACCGTGGTGTTTAATATATTAAGATGGGTTGTAGAAGTAAATGCGAGGGTTTGGCAAGAGAGTCGGGAGTTAAGTAAAGAATCACACAAAGTGGGAGTTGTCAAGCTGCTCTTTGCTGATGACACTGTGCTCTTGGGAGATTCTGAAGAGAAGTTGCAGAGATTGGTGGATGAATTTGGTAGGGTGTGCAAAAGAAGAAAATTATAGGTGAATACAGGAAAGAGTAGGTTATGAGGATAACAAAAGATTGGTGATTGAAAGATTGAATATCAGATTGGAGGAGAGAGTATGGAGGAGGTGAACGTATTCAGATATTTGGGAGTGGACGTGTCAGCGGATGGGTCTATGAAAGATGAGGTGAATCATAGAATTGATGAGGTAAAAAAGAGTGAGTGGTGCCTTAGGAGTCTGTGGAGACAAAGAACTTTGTCTTGGAGGCAAAGAGGGGAATGTATGAGAGTATAGTTTTACCAACGCTCTTATATGGGTGTGAAGCGTGGGTGATGAATGTTGCAGCGAGGAGAAGGCTGGAGGCAGTGGAGATGTCATGTCTGAGGGCAATGTGTGGGGTGAATATAATGCAGAGAATTCGTAGTTTGGAAGTTAGGAGGAGGTGCGGGATTACCAAAAACTGTTGTCCAGAGGGCTGAGGAAGGGTTGTTGAGGTGGTTCGGACATGTAGAGAGAATGGAGCGAAACAGAATGACTTCAAGAGTGTATCAGTCTGTAGTGGAAGGAAGGCGGGGTAGGGGTCGGCCTAGGAAGGGTTGGAGGGGTAGGGGGTAAAGGAGGTTT